ATGATAGATTTAAGTGGTAGGCACTCTGCGGAATAACGATGATACAAAGCTAATATTTAAATGTGTGCTTGAGCATTTACATGTGATTGGTGCTATACTAAGCACAGTACACTTAGTAGCTCATTGATCCCTGATGAACTAGGTGTTTGCACCAGTTACAAGCATGAGAAATCTGAGGTGCAGGGATTTAACGAACTTGCTCAAGGTCACACAGTAAAGAGTGGAGGAGCTGGGATAGAAGCCTAACTGAGCTCTGCACTACTTTTAACTACCAAAGCTGCATACTGATTTTTTACCTTTCGTATGTACATTTCAAGTATCTCTACTGTAATCTATAAATTTCTAGGTGACTAGAGCTTACATTATATCGTCTGATTTGCTGCTATTCTGAACTCGGGGTTGTTGGAAGCAGCTGACACACTTCTGTCAAATGATTTCAAGGCCAGAGTCAGGGTAGAGTCAAGAGTTGGCCAGGTGCGTAGAACTCCACCCCCCACCCCAACTGGCAGGATGCAGGCAATGATTCAACAGTGTCTGTTAAGCTGGTACACCCCCCCCCCCATGGCTCAAAATAGTAATTGTGATGTAATATTTGTTTAATGTCTAAAAAGAATACTCTGGTGACTTATGTACTTAAAAATTATGTAAATGCACCCTCAGGATGCTGGTGAAAGGTGCAATTTTGACATCAGAAAAAGAGGATGCATCAAATATTTAATTAAAGGACCAGATGAAAAAAGCAGTTGATGGAAATGTGGTTTAGCCACCCCACCCCCTCACCTCACCCCCAAGTCTGAGAAAGCAGCAAAGTCTAGTGTCATCTTTGAAAACAAAATATGAGTACAGATGAATTTAAGAAAAAAATGCAAGTTTACTCTCTACATAATTTTCGGGCTGGTTTCTTTTAAAAAGTTGCTATTAAAAAACAAATGATTTATTTTCAGGATTCAGGAATGTACTTATACTCCCTTTCTAATGTTACCTATGGAGGGAAAACTGGAAGGCTGCTTGCTCCTCCCTTGCTAAGAGAGGGTGTTTATTAGCTAGGATGGCAATGAAAAATTTAATACTAGTTTATAGCAGGGGACTGTCTTGGGCCTTTCATCTGGATATGTGGCTCTTATTCCTCCCATGGATAAGCTCTAGCCTTAGAAAGTCTAATCCCAATTTGTTCTGTATCACTATACCATATTTAAAAAAACTCAACTATATTTCTATACAAGTGGGGTTAATTAGTTGTTTTAAAGATCACCCTCTTTCCTGCCTAGGTAAATGGTCTTCATAGAAACTAGGAATGTGCTACTTTAAAAATTTACACTGCAGCCCTGTTTCCTGGCAATGTCCTGTCAATTCAAGAAAGGAAAGAAAGGGAAGCTACTTCATGATGAGAAATCAAAGTTTTTCTCCCTTCTCTTTTTCTTTTCTTTTTGATTTATTCTGAGCAATTGTCCCCAGGAAACTAACCCACCAACCGCTGTCAAGTTTGATTCCTGTTCCTGGAGTGACACCTTCCTGCTCCTCCAGGATGTCTCAGCTGGCTTTTCATCTTGGTCATCCACTTGCAAACTATCTTAGAGTCTTAGGACAGGGAAGACTACTTTGTAGAGTTTTTCTCCCCCCTTGGCATCTTTTTTTTTTTTTTTTAAACCTTTTTAGATGCTGGAGGGTGGGGCCAACCAACAGAGAGTCAGCAGGGCTGGCCTATCCCTTTTCTGACCCTCTGGGGCCATCTTCCTTCTGGCAATTCTCTTCCCCCATCTGTTTTCCTCTTGTTCTTGTTTAAAAAAAAAAAAAAAAATTAAAAACAACCAAAGAAAGGAAAAGAAACAAACCCTAGAAATACAACACCTCTGGAGCAAGGCCAGCATGGTAGAAAATTCTATAGGAGTGTGTAGATTCATGTGGGAGCATGTACATGTTTACACGCAGCTCTCAGATTATGGAAGAAACTCATATTGGCAGTAGATGGTAGCAAGAGAAGCTCCTCCCTAATCTTTAAAGAATCAGATGTTTCCTTCTCCTTCAGTGGCAGAGAAGGAGCTTTGTTTTGTGTTTCTTCAGTTTTGTTGAGATACAATGAACATGTTTTGGTTTTATGTGATAGTTTTTGCACTCTTCACGCAGTTCAGTGAATGCTCCCTGAGCTTAGATTTGCGCCAGGTGCTGAGCGGAGCACTTCTAAGAGCAGCTGAGGACCTGGGCCTTCGTGGTGCGGCTGCCAGGCTCTTCCTCCACCTGGAAGCTCTTTCCATCTCAGGGCAATACTTGGGCTTCAGGATGGATTCGTCCCTTTAGGGAGGGGGTTTCTGCAGCCTGAGTCCTTTGACACATTTGCCCAGCTGGTTGATTTGAGAGCTTTCCAGGTTGATCTTTCCCTGGTAAACTCCCTGAATCTTGATGCACACATTCAGAGGAGGAGCTGGGGATGTTTATATAGTTGTTGGTTTTTTTTTCTTCCCCTTGTTATCTTTTTATTTATGCTGGACACCAAGTTATTTTTTCTTTTTATTGAAGTACAATTTACACACAGTGAAATTTTGCACAGATCTTAAATGGCAGATTTACAAGTTTTGACAAATGTATACACCAATGATATACTTCTATTTCAGTACCCCAGAGGGTTTCCTCATCCCCCTTCCCAGTCCAAGCCCCTTACTCCCAAGGATATTTTTCATATATCTCCACAGCTGTTTTGGCTTGTTCTAGAATTTCTTGTAAATGGAGTCACACAGGATGAACTCTTTGGTGTTTGGCTTTTTCCTCCTATCACGATGTTTTTTTGGGATTCATCCAAGTAGTTGCCTGTACAAGTAGAACCCAAGATGTCACTAACAGCTTGACAGTGTTAGATGGGGACCATTGTTCCACCAGTTGGCCTGGTATGTGGCCCTCTCCGCTCCTCTAAGTCAGTCTCTTTCCAGGGCCAAGCAAGTCCCTCTCCCAGGCAGCCTCAGACACCACCCAGATGGCCGCAGGGCCGTCACCCGGGTAGCCTCCCCGATAGCTGCCCTCTGCCCCCCACCCCTATTATAACTCAAAAGGAAACTGGCTCCTCCGCAGATCAGAATTCAGATTCGTTAAATTCCACGCATCCAATTGCACACGAGTGTGTGTTTTGGTGTTGCTATGCAGAGTCCTTAAGAAAACGTAAAAAGGGGGAAAAAAAAAAGTGGGGGGAAACCCAGACCTCACTGGCAGTGGATTTCAGACTCTGTTGAACCAGGATTCAAAATGCAATCTTTTCTTTTTTAACAGAAGAGTCGCTCTCTGCTCCTCGCTCGGAAGGTTTCAAAGGTCGTCACACCGCAGCCCGGGGGCGTTCATCTCCCTAGCGGCCTGGAGAAGGGAGGAGGTTGGAGGGAGGAGGGAGGGAGCACACAAAAGCGAGCCGTGCCGAGAGGGCTAATGTTTCCTGTTTGCCTGGAACCCCCTCCCCTGTGTCCCCTCCCCCAGCCCCCTCCCAGCACTCGGGCGGAAGTGAGTTTGCTCCTTTGGAGATTAAAAGGATTCCGAATTCCGATCAGTCCTAATAACGCGTACTGAGAGGAGAGAAGAAGGAGGAAGAGGCGGCAAAGCAGAGAAAGAGGGGGCACGCGCGCGCGTGCACGCACTCAGCCCGAATTGGGGGAGTTGTGCAAAGCCCCAGGAGGCCAGAGCGCACGGCGCGAGCAAAGGCCGGTAGGCGCAGCGCGGCCGGGGCCACCCGAGTCTTGCTCGGTGACTCTTTTCAGGAAGAAGATGACGCGGGCCAGCAGCGTTGGCCACGCGGCTCCCGAGCTCACCGAGCTGGGCCATTGCCGGTTCCACTGATTCCAGCGCGCCTCGGAGGAGGCTCCGTCCCCGCAGCTCGGGATCGGAGGGGGGACCAAGGCGAGGGCGAAATGGCCCGATGACAAAGGAAATGTGATCCCCCTTCGCCGCCAAGGTTTCAGAGAGGACGGACGTGAGGAGGAGGAGGGGCGCGGGGCGCGCGCGGAGCTCGGATAGCATTGCACGACGGCTCGCGCGGAGCGGGCAGCGGGTACATCTAATATCTTCCTGCCGATGAATAATTCAGGACGGCCCGCGGGGACCTGCGGCCCCGCGCTGCAACGCGGCTAAACCGGAGGGGAAGGAGCGCGCGCGGGAGGCGCCAAGGCCGGGCGAGGCGGGGGCACGAG